ATTTAATTTTGGATGACCTGTCCATTGGTGAAAGTGGGGTGTTAAAGTCTCCTACTATGATTGTGTTACTGTCGATTTCCCCTTTTTTGGCTGTTAGCATTTTCCTTATGTATTGAGGTGCTCCTCCATTTGGTGCATAAATATTTAAAATAGTTATATCTTCTTGGATTGATCCCTTGAGCATTATGTAGTGTCCTCGTTGTCTCTTGTAATAGTCTTTATTTTAATGTCTATTTTGCCTGATATGAAAATTGCTACCCCAGCTTTCTTTTGATTTCCACTTGCTTGGAGTATCTTCTTCCATCCCCTCACTTTCAGTCTCTTTGTGTCCCTAGGTCTGAAGTAGGCCTCTTGTAGACAGCATATATATGGGTCTTGTTTTTGCATCCATTCAGCCAGTCTATGTCTTTTGATTGGAGCATTTAATCCATTTACTTTTAAGGTAGTTATTGATATGTATGTTCCTATTACCATTTTCTTAATTTTTGGGGGTTCATTATTGTAGGTCTTTTTCTTCTCTTGTGTTTCCTGCCTAGAGAAGTTCCTTTAGCATTTTTGTAAAGCTGGTTTGCTGGTGCTGAATTCGCTTAGCTTTTGCTTGTCTGTATAGGTTTTTATTTCTCCGTTGAATCTCAATAAGTTCCTTGCTAGGTAGAGTAATCTTGGTTGTTGGTTTTTCCCTTTCATCACTTTAAATATGTCCTGCCACTCATTTCTGTCTTGCAGAGTTTCTGCTGAAAGATCAGCTGTTAACCTTATGGGGATTCCCTTGTATGTTATTCGTTGCTTTTCCCTGCTGCTTTTAATATTTTTTCTTTGTATTTAATTTTTGATAGTTTGATTAATATATGTCTTGGTGTGTTTCTCCTTGGATTTTTCCTGTATGGGACTCTCTGCAGTTCCTGGACTTGATTAACTATTTCCTCTTCCATATTAGGGAAGTTTTTAGCTATGATCTCTTCAAATATTTTCTCAGTCCATTCCTTTTTCTCTTCTTCTTCTGGAACCCCTATAATTCGAATGTTGGTGCGTTTAATGTTGTCCCAGAGGTGTCTGAGACTGTCCTCAGTTCTTTTCATTCTTTTTTCTTTATTCTGCTCTGCAGTAGTTATTTCCACCATTTTATCTTCCAGGTCATTTATCCGTTCTTCTGCCTCAGTTATTCTGCTATTGATTCCTCCTGGAGAATTTTAAATTTCATTTATTGTGTTGTTCATCATTGTTTGTTTGCTCTTTAGTTCTTCTAGGTCCTTGTTAAACGTTTCTTGTATTTTCTCCATTCTATTTCCAAGATTTTGGATCATCTTTACTATCATTACTCTGAATTCTTTTTCAGGTAGACTGCCTCTTTCCTCTTCATTTGTTAGGTCTGGTGGGTTTTTATCTTGCTCCTTCATATGCTGTGTGTTTCTCTGTCTTCTCATTTTTTTTAACTTACTGTTTTTGGGGTCTCCTTTTCGCAGGCTGCCGGTTCATAGTTCCTGTTGTTTTTGGTGCTTGCCCCCAGATGCTAAGGTTGGTTCAGTGGGTTGTGTAGGCTTCCTGGTGTATGGGACTAGTGCCTGTGATCTGGTGAATAAGTTGGGATCTTGTGTTTCTCGTGGGCAGGTCTGCGTCCTTTCGTGTGTTTTGTGGTGTCTTTGATCTTATTATGATTTTAGGCAGCCTCTCTTCTAATGGGTTGGGTTGCGTTCCTGTCTTGCTAGTTGTTTGGCATAGGGTGTGCAGCATTGTAGCTTGCTGGTCGTTGAGTGGAGCTGGTTCTTAGCGTTGAGATGGAGATATTTTGGCGAACTGCCACTGTTTGATATTATGTGGAGCTGGGACATCTCTTGTGGACCAATGTCCTGAACTCGGCTCTCCCACCTCAGAGCACAGTCCTGACACCCAGCTGGAGCACCAAGACCCAGTCCTCCACACAGCTCAGAAGAAAAGGGAGAGAAAATGAAAGAAAGAAAGAAAAAAACCAACAAAATAAAGTTATTAAAATAAAAAATAATTTTTTAAAATAATAATATTTAAAAGTAATAAAAAAGGAAAAAAAGAAAGAGGAGAGCAACCAAACTGAAAAACAAATCCACCAAAAATAACAAGTACTAAATTTATACTAAAAAAAACAAAAGCAGACAGACAGAACCCTAGGACAAATGGTAAAAGCAAAGCTATAGGAACAAAGTCACACAAAGAAGCATACACATACACACTCACAAAAAGGGACAAAGGAAAAAAAAAACATATATATCGTTGCTCCCGAAGTCCACTGCCTCAGTTTCGCAATGATTCGTTGTCTATTCATGTATTCCACAGATTCAGGGTACATCAAGTTGATTGTGGATGTTTAATCCACTGCTTTTGAGGCTGCTGGGAGAGATTTCCCTTCCTCTTTGTTCCCACAGCTCCAGGGGCTCAGCTTTGGATTTGGCCCCGCCTCTGCGTGTAGGTCGCCAGAGGGCCTCTGTTCTTCGCTCAGACAGGACAGGGTTAAAGGAACAGCTGATTCGGGGGCTCTGGCTCACTCAGGCCGGGGGCAGGGAGGGGTACGGAATGCAGGGTGAGCCTGTGCAGGCAGAGGCTGGTGTGACGTTGCATCAGCCTGAGGCACACCGTGTGTTCTCCCGGGGAAGTTGTCCCTGGATCCCGGGACCCTGGCAGTGGCGGGCTGCACAGGCTCCTGGGTGGGGAGGTGTGGAGAGTGACCTGTGCCACACAGGCTTCTTGGTGGCTGCAGAAGCAGCCTTGGTGTCTCATGCCCGTCTCTGGTGTCTGCGCTGATAGCCGCGGCTCGCGCCCGTCTCTGGAGCTCGTTTAGGTGGTGCTCTGAATCCCCTCTCCTCACGCACCCCAAAACAATGGTCTTTTGCCTCTTAGGCAGGTCCAGACTTTTTCCCAGACTCCCTCCCGGCTAGCTGTGGTGCACTAGCCCCCTTCAGGCCACGTGAACACAGCCCTCTCCCTGGGGTCTGACCTCCGAAGCCCCAGCCTCAGCTCCCAGCCCTGCCCGCCCCGGCGGGTGAGCAGACAAGCCTCTCGGGCTGGTGAGTGCTGGTCAGCACCGATCCTCTGTGTGGGAATCTCTCCGCTTTGCCCTCTGCACCCCTGTTGCTGCGTTCTCCTCCGTCGCTCCCAAGCTTCCCCCTCGCCAGCCCCTGTCTCTTCCAGTGAAGGGGCTTCCTAGTGTGTGGAAACATTTCCTCCTTCACAGCTCCCTCCCACTGGTGCAGGTCCCGTCCCTATTCTTTTGTCTCTGTTTTTTCTTTTGCCCTACCCAGATACTTGGGGAGTTTCTTGCCTTTTGGGAGGTCTGAGGTCTTCTGCCATAATTCAGTAGGTGTTCTGTAGGAGCTGTTCCACATGTATATGTATTTCTGATGTATTTGTGGGGAGGAAGGTGATCTCCACGTCTTACTCTTACGCCATCTTGTATGTCTCCCCCCCCGCAATGTTTTTAATATTAACAACCTCATTATTACTGTCAGTCGTGACCAATGTATACTTATTCTCAATTAAAAATGTATTTTTTTACAGCATAAAAAGCATTCTAAACACTCAGTCGTATAAAAATATTTACAATGAAGACAACTTTGGAATGGGATATTTTAAAATTATTTATATTTCTCTAAAATAGTTAGTAAGCCATTGAATGGTTTTCTTTGTTGAAACCCTAGCTTTTCATTTGAGAATAATGACTTGTATTGTTATATCCCAAGCTACCGCTTACTCTCTTGGGATTATATTTAGCATTATTAGAAACTGCATTAACCTGATCTAGGTCCCTAAGTTAATCTTTGTATAAAACCTGAGACTTGAAAGAGAAAGAAGAAGCTGAGGCAACAGGTGAAGATGATCTCAATAGTCCTTGTGTCCAGTCTACTCCATTAGAATGCAAAAGCCTTCCTCAGATTCATCTCCTTTGTTTCCCAGATTTTTTTTTCTATTAGCAGGCTATCCTAATGACAAATAAATCATTATTAAATTGTTCACACTGGCTACAGAGTTTCCTAACCACTTTGAAAACCTCACCATGGGTAGCTGTGGGGACCCATGTGTTACATTTTGAAGTTCACATGCTGGAGCCTGTAGTGTTTGCTGAGGTTAAAAAAACAGTGTTGAGACACATCACGGAATAACTTACATTGAGTTATTATTTCGTTATGCTACCTGCTAATAATTTGAAAAAATTCAAATTACTTTCCCCAGTTGCTTTCTCTTACCTTCATTGCCATAAAAAATCAAATTTATTATGAGACAAAGGGACATTTCTGTCTTGGATTTTCAGCCACTAAATGTCCTAAGGTCGGAGACCATCTTTTTCAGATTTTGGGTTCAGCATTCTACCCACCAGGGGGTACAGAGTAAATAAGGAATGATAATTATACTAATTCATATCTGTTTAATCAGGCAGGCATGATATACGATTCAGTATTTAAGCACTTAGGCAGTGATTACCCATAATAATAGTCGTGTATGGTTCTTTTAATTCCCAAGTTTCATATGCCATCTTGGCTAACTGTTTACAACCATCATCATCTCCTTTCTTCTCCTCATCAACATCAACTGACTTTTATTGTGTGTGTTCTTTACAAAGCACCCTCAGCTATTTTAGAGAAAGACAGAATCTTTAGACTTATTTTTCCATATTTATTTGCACTTATCACATCTCTGCTTTCACAGAAGCCTAGCTGCAAAAATAATTTCATTTCCCTTTGCCTGATTGCTCAATTATTTTCTCTTTTTCCTAAATTAGTTTGATTTAATGTCATATCAGCACTTTGAATGGCAAGCCTCAATAATGTAAATCAAGCATATTCACTGCAGAATGCTATTCCTAGTACCTCACTGATTTTCCGACACATTGTGCCTTCTGCAGCATAGAGGAGGATGGAGACTAGGCTTGAGACTTCAGGGCAGACCAGGATTTAGGCCAGGGCGCTTTGCCAAATAGCCACGTTAATGCTAGTGCCTTTCCTTACTCTTCGATGTCTTTTGTCACCAATTTCCAGGCCTTTGCTATGACCAACCAGATTCTGGTGGAGAGGTCAGTGACAGGTTGGAAAGAAATAGAATATGAAGTGGTCCGAGATGCTGATGACAACTGTGTCACTGTCTGTAACATGGAAAATGTTGATGCCATGGGCGTTCATACAGGTAGGCAAGGAATCTTCAAGCATTATGGTAATGGCTTCAGCTCATATCTCTGGTGGCTCATAGCAGTCTTTATTAAGTCCCTTTCTTTAAATTACTATTCTTAGCATACACATTAGTGATAAAATTTTACACATATATAGTATTTTACAGCATTGAAAATACTCTCATATTTAATTTGATCTTCACAAAAACCCTCTGAAGTAGGGCAGATATTATTATCCTGATTTCATTTGAGGAAAGGGTAAAATATAAGCAATGCTGTGAAGGTAAAATCTGTAAGACTTGGTGTTGAGAAGTAAGGCATGAGGTTAAGAAGGCTTGAAGCAGACTGGGTGTTAGTCACCAAGCGAATGAGAAAATAGCCACAGTCAATAGAAATAGGTGAAATAAATAGGTTTCTCAGGAAGGGAAGCTGGTTAGACTAGAGGGCAAAGCTGATGACTTAGGATTTAGAAATGCTAAAGTTTAAAAGTGGGCGGAAATCTCAAGAAGAGGAGAATGTAGAGCTGGAACTCAGGAAAGAGGATAGAAATAAAGAAGTTGATGCAAGGTCATTGGAAGTCTTTGTATAAAGAAAATAGTGGAAGCTGGAAGCATAGACTGAGTGTTCAAGGGCATAGGTGTAGAAGGAAAGAGAATAGGGTCAAGGACCATACCCTGGGAAACATTTAGATTTATAGGGCAGAAGAAAAAGGACGGATTGGTGTTGAAAAAAAGAAGGGAATGATAGTTACCTTATAAGCCAATGCACAAAAATATTTTATAAAAGAGCTTTGGTTTTGACTGTAGCAAATACTATGAAAGGTCAAGAATGAAGATTTAATGTTGCTTTTGGATGTTCAAGAGGACAGTTTCAATGCAAAGTTGGTTATGTGAGCCATATGGAAAGGAATTATATGACTATGAGTGATAAGAAGACCTGGTAGGGCTTCCCTGGTGGCGCAGTGGTTGAGAGTCCGCCTGCCGATGCAGGGGACGCGGGTTTGCGCCCTGGTCTGGGAGGATCCCACATGCTGCAGAGCGGCTGGACCCGTGAGCCATGGCCGCTGAGCCTGCGTGTCCGGAGCCTGTGCTCCGCAGCGGGAGAGGCCACAGCGGTGAGAGGCCCACGTACCGCAGAAAAAACAAACAAAAAAAAGAACTGGTAAATTTTCAAAAGGTTTAGTCATGTAAGGAATGAGAGAGATGGTTCTTATAACCATCTGGCAGTTCAGAGAGGGGCTCCTTGAGCCTGTAGTGATCTGAGCTTGTTTGTAGGCAGAAGGGATGGTGACTAAGGACTAAGAGATTGAAGATACAGGGGGCTATAATTGTAGAGAAGTGAGAAAATGGGAAGGGATGAGATTTAGAAAATTGATGGGTGAAGAGGAGCTGATATTTTATGGAAGGAAGAACTTGAAAGCTAATTCATGAGACATAGAAGGGAAATTGAAGAAGTTAATGTCAATCCAGTAAGTAGATGACTAAGCCTTGATAGCTTCATGATCTTGGGAAAGCTCAGAGTGATTTCTGTAAATATGTCAGAGTAATACAGGTAAAACAATCAGAGGGAATGTGCCTTGTATGTGTTTCCCTAAGATAATTCTTTTCCCAGCAAACCCTCAGCCTGTTCTGTTTCTTGTGTCATGCAAATAGATTGTTAAGTTACTAAAGTTGGTTATTTAGATATGCTACCAAATAACAAGTGTTGCTTGGATGTACAGGTGATTCAGTTGTTGTGGCCCCTGCCCAGACGCTCTCCAATGCGGAGTTTCAGTTGTTGAGACGTGTTTCAATCAATGTCGTTCGCCACTTGGGCATCGTGGGTGAATGCAACATTCAGTTTGCCCTTCATCCTACCTCAATGGAATACTGCATCATTGAAGTGAATGCCAGACTGTCCCGAAGCTCTGCCCTGGCCTCAAAAGCTACTGGGTAAGGCCAGAACGATTGACCATGGGTTTGCAGATTGAACTGGAAAATTGAAAGCTAGTGGAAGAATGTGCTGCATTTGCAAACTATAGTCCCCATTTCTGTATGCTGACTCCCAGTCATGTCCTATGGACATGGTTATTAATGAGCTTGCCGCCAGATTGAGGCAAATGGTATTGCTAGCTGGCTTTGTTTGCTGGCTAATCATAAACTAATCAAGATCTGGGTGGTCAAAGCAGGCTGTGAAAAATCTGCTTCTTAATTGCACTTTGCAGATGTTGTTAAAAAGTACAAATTAATCCTTAATTTTAGTCCTTCACTGACTTTTTTAGGTATATAACAAATTTTGGACAAATAATAGAGTTCACTTGACTCAAGCATGCAATCACATTATTTTATTTTAGCAAAACTTCACAAGACCAAACAACAGTAGGTTTTTTCTATAGGTAAATCTTGCAACTAAATAAATAAATTTGTATCTACTTAACAATTGCTAGCAAGCATGACTGGAAGGAACACTAATTAATATCTTTTGTTTCTATTAATATCTTTAACATCTGGTATTTAAATTACACGACATTTTAAAAATATTTACCTCTCAAGCTATTTTTATGTAGCTAGACAGTGCTACATGGAGTGTGGAAGGAGTGATGAACTAAACAAGAGTCAAGAGACCTGAGTTCTCCTTCTGGTCCTTCTACTAATTGTGGGACTTTGGATAAATCACTACTGTCTCTGTCAGTTTCTTCACCTCTTAGGTGGGGAAGTTGTACTAAAGGACTCATATATAATTCTATAGTTCTGTGAATTAATTTTTCAAATACAATTACCCAAATTGACATTCCAGAAGAGTATGGTCAAGTTTCCAGAGTGTTAGTTGTGTTAGGAGCCCAAAGTTCAAAGATAATTTGGAAACAGAGCAAGGACCCGAACTTTCAAGGACTGCATTTTATGACCTTTACATCCCCCATAGTACCAGCTAACTCCAGCGGCTTCCTAGGTGCAGACATGTATATATTTTTATAAAAGAATATTTTGCAGATTCTTATCTTAGTGGAAATTATACACAAGTGAGTACTTTATTTCTCAAGGAAGCTATTGATTTTGGGTTGAAGAGGTGAAGGTTGGGAGTTGTAGCACTGCATGTCAGGCATAGACAGTGAACTCTTCTGTGATCTGTGCTTCTGTACTTTATCATGACTCACTTTATTTTATAAGGAGCTATTAAATTTTCATACAGAACTGAGAATCAGGTGTGTTTTATACCTTGATGTGAAATAATACCAGAATTTCTAAGAAAAACCAATTTATATTTTGAGCTGTTTTTAATACTTATTGCTGAAAGAAAAAAAAATGTCTCCTCCTTTATAGCTACCCATTGGCATTCATTGCTGCAAAGATTGCCCTAGGAATTCCACTTCCAGAAATCAAGAACGTTGTATCAGGGAAAACGTCAGCCTGCTTTGAACCGAGCCTGGATTACATGGTTACCAAGATTCCTCGCTGGGATCTTGATCGTTTTCATGGCACTTCTAGCCGAATTGGTAGCTCTATGAAAAGTGTAGGAGAGGTGAGTCCTTGGTTAATTCCTCTCTTTCATCCTTGTTCTCAGTTATTTTGTCCAACCCTAATGTCATTGAAAGTCTTCAGTTTCCTTGGATACTGGGTTACTGATTGGAGGATACATGTGAATTTCATTTCCTCCCTAGTGTCTCCACATAAGGCATAGCTGTTTTAAATCTTAATTTTTTTTATCATGCTTCAAGGTGCACAATAGAATTATAGCTCAAATGCCAGGAAAAGTTTTGTTGGTGGTGTTTCTGCCAAGTAAACAACTGTTATTTAGTTTACATTTCATGGAAAGATTCCCCTTTCACAATGTGCATGGGAAAATTTGTAGGCCAAGGAATATGAGATAATTTTGCAATGTGTTAATTTAGGGTTTATTATCTGAAAGGTTTTTGTCTTCAGTGAATATTTAACACTTTACATTTAGTTCAACTCAAGTTAGCAGACATTTCCTGAGTTCTTACTACATGCAAGACCCTGGGATGATAAAAACAGTGAATAAGATGTAGATAATTGTGACATTATCTCCAGCTGGTGAGTTCAGAATATATTCACAGAACTAAATATAATATGAATTAAACTGTGGTAAAAGTTGGAATGCAGTATTTATATGCAGGTGCTGTGAGAATGTAGTAGAATAGGGTCAGGGAAAGCCACAATAGATATTCCACTGAAAAATGGTGAAATTGTCACTTAATGAATATGAAGTTTAATAATATAAAGTATTAAAAAGGACAGATTTTGAGCAAACACAGTTATGTATTCCTTTATTATTATGTTTACTTCTCTTTTATTGAATGTACTCCATATACTGTTATGTACAGTGTACTTTAATGAAAATTCATGGTGAATTACTTATAGAATTAGTTACTTTAGGGCCAACTCTTAAATATATAATACTTTAAAATTTTCTTAAATATTCCAAAAATATTTTCTTAATTTGATAGTGCCATAAACTATCTTATATCTGGTACCCTCTCCTATGCTTAGGCTAGAAAATCTATGAATATATTGTCTAACTCTTCAAATACCACTATGCCTCATAAATTACGTATCTGAATTGGACTAATATTTTGTTTATCCCTGCTCTTGAGACTCTTCCCTTATTTCTAATTAAATTTGGAGCAGTGTGAAAAGGTTATCTGTTTGGCTTTAGTGATCTTTGTATATGTAGCTTGTCATGCAATTGACATGAAGATTTACTAAACTGACATTAATGAGAATTCAGGTCTGTTTGAGGCATCACAGAAGTTTACTGAAGGCAGTGTTATGACTGTTATTATTTTAAATTGTAGACCAAAAATGCATGGCAATCTATTATTCCATGGAAAGAATCAAAGACAGTATTTATTCACTGAAAATAACTGGGTAGGCTTCAAGGTTAATTTTAGTTCTCACTTGTAACTTGTCCAAACTAAATCACCACATGGTTTTCCTAATTGATTAGCATACAATCAGCTGCAAAGATTGTGGGACGACATGTTGAATTTGTCATGGGGAATTTAGTCTCCTATATTCAAAATCTGAATCTGTCAGTATTTGTTATGATTCTCAAGATTCTATTAATATTAATGCTTAGCTATAAAGAAAGCCAACCTGTCTGGGATACTGACTGATACCCATTTAGAAATATTTCTGTTTTTGTGTTAATATATGTCTGGTTTCTCTTCGTTTGCTTTTTTATTCTAAAGGACATCTGCATGAAAGCAAGATCTTATTAAGGAAGGGTCTATGTTCTCTGGCCACAGATTCTTTCTTTTAATGCTATGGTCCAGAGCAAGTACAGGTGATTTCCTCATCAGTCTCAGCAAATCAAGCTAAATTCCCTATGTGGTAAAAGAGTGACCTAATGATGTTAAAGACTCATTACATCAAAACCACAGTAAAAAGGCAAGAAAGAAAAATAACTTAAATTTGAGTAGCATTCTTTTGATATATGTCTTGCTCCTAAGTCTTTTCTGAAAAACAGTCAACTTCTAGCTTTGTTACAAATTAAAAATATGCAAGCTCTTTTTAAAAATATGAGTCTTAAATGTGTATTACAGGTCATGGCTATTGGTCGCACCTTTGAGGAGAGTTTCCAGAAGGCTTTACGGATGTGCCACCCTTCTATAGCTGGTTTTACTTCCAGTCTCCCAATGAACAAAGAGTGGCCATCCAACATTGATCTCAGAAGAGAGCTGGCTGAACCATCCAGCACCCGCATCTATGCCATCGCCAAGGTAACATGTGACAAGGGGCGGAGAGCTACCCTTTTTTTTTCTTTCCCAGAATACAATCAGCTTGGACTTGAATGTAAAACTGAATCACAAAGTGGTCTTGAATTCAGGAATTTTTGGAAAATCTTTAATTCTCTTTAATAGTATTAAACTGGAGGTTTCTATGGACTTCATCAGATTATTCTATAGCTAATGAAAAATTACCCTTTTTTATTTTCACCTTAAGCCTGGACTTAAAGGGAACACTGCAGTTTTAAAGGATGATCACATAGATAAAATGTTCTTCCCTTTTAGTACATATATTATCAATACTCTTAAATGTTTGATAATATTGACTTATGATTTCCCATCACTCTCATTACTTGCTCATTGAAAATGTGTAAAATTATATTTTAGAAAGGAAGTTGCGTAAAATGGTATCACTTAGTATGTCCTACCTTAGACTCTAGAATAATCTTTATTTGATTCTTCTTCTGTGTTTAAACAACAAACTGTAAAGAACTTCCATGATTATAGGCTTTTCTATGTAATTATTTTATTGGTCTTACTTATAGAACAAAAAAGCCCCACATTTCTCACTTCCACCCACTAGTTCCCTTTAATGCAAATTAAATGCCATATTAATCTCCTTTCATGTTTACTATGCTTAGAGTTTTGAAGTTTTAGTTCATCTGATTTTATAAAAGGTGATTTGGGCAGCTGGGATCTGTCTGGTCAGAAATCCTTGAATTGCTTTTTGACATTTAAGGAAGGTTAGGTATTAATCCTCCAACAGTACCAAACCACACTGGAGCTACAAAGTCCTCTGACCATTTTATGTGTGTGTATGTACGTGTGGAATGAGTTGATGAAAATATGAATTTTGTCTTTAAAAAGGGAATCTGTCTTTGTAACTTGTCTTTGTAGGAACAGAAAAATGCTGGTCTTTGTAGCAACAGAAAAATGCTGTTAGTGATTTCGAACTCTGCAACTTTTATGCTCATATATAGAAGGAGGGGAGGGAATGTTTCCTTCATTGCATTTAATGTATATTCTCCTCACCTTTATGGTTTCTAAATGCAGAATATTTCATTTCCATTGAAATTCTGAAGTAGTCTGAGAGATACTAGTATTTTTTGATGGACATTTCTCAAAGTTGACTTTCAAGGGAATAGAGAATTAACATTTTTCCATGGTGGAGGGAGTGATATTAGTAATGAGAGGTCATTTTAGAAAGCCGTTTCACCTTCTTTATTGTTCTTATTTCAGTCTTTTGTTTAAAAAGCAACCTACAACATTCATACATGTGTATATATGTGTATGTGTGTGTATGTATGTATACATATAATTTTTATTTCCAGACAAAGGACAGTAAATAGATTTTTTCCTTGAGTCTAGTAATCATACTTCTGCCATTTTGAGGTGGATGAACAAGGGAAGTATTTCCAAGTTCCCAGTGAGGCTGTAAAACTCAAGCATATCTCTCATTCTTTTCTAACAGACTTATAAAGGATGAGAATTCAGGGAAAATGTGTGGAGATTCTTTCTTGCACAGAGTATGAGCAAGAAGTGCAGGGTCTGAGGTATAAATTATTGCCTGCCAGCGTGCTGGGAGAAGGAACTGATTTCTGTTTGTTAGAGGTCATCATTACTGTTCATTTCCACAGCAACCAGGAACTTGGTGATTTTGACAAAGAGTGTAAGGAGTGTGGTGGGCTGAAGGGGAAAAAGAATGAAGGGAGTGAGTAAATCTTTGCTCGCTTTCATAATTCTTAGAAAGGGCAACTTGCTCTGAGGTCTGATTTTTGCAGCGGTCTTATTTCAGGATGACTGGATCATCACCTCTTTTGATTTGGGGAGAATACAGGGCATTATTTTTGATTTGGGGAACGTTAGAGTAACCTCCAACTTGTTTGGGGTCATTACAAACTTCATTACGGCTGTGTGACATGGCAAAGCTGCAGCTCTTGAAAGACCGGCAGGATCTTGCTTTCTGTTCAGAACTGTGGATGTGATTCTAGTTGTCCTTCCTCACAGTAAAATGACTGCAGATTCTAGGTCCTTCATCAGTCGCAGGGTAATTACTGTGTGCGATTGTGTGAAAATGTCCTTTGGTCTATCAGAAGTGTCACTACGACCTTAAGGTTCTATTCCCCTCACAGTGTTGATGGTCAAAGAGCCAGTTGTCCCTTTAATCCCTTGGCAAATAAGGCATAATATTAAGTCCTTGGGAACCTGGCTATAGTTATAGGGAGAATTAAACAAAAAAACATAAATAGACTTACGAAACGAATATGTCTTTCAGTATTCACATTAGATGTCATTTTATTCTAGTCAATAGAATTATGAGCTATATTGTTTCTCAACATGTATGATCATGGTCTCTCTGATACCAGAAATAAGTAAAAGTTTTAGGAAAATTAAGCTCCCTTGGTTGAAATATAACAGCAGTTATTAGTTACATATATTTCCTAATGGGATTTAAAAATATAGTGTGCCATAATAAAATATGTTGTTTTGAAATATTTGATTATCATTTTTCATTGAGTATAAATGTTATCTAAACATAGAAAAGAATAAGAGTAGGCATCTTTTGAATAAGAAGGTTTTGGTTTTGAGACTTTATCTCTTCTTTCAGCTGCCTTTTGTACTCAGCTTAATGACCCATAGCTGTAATTTTACTTTTGAGAAATTGCTAAACTAAGCTTGAGGAAAAAGCTGAGCTGCCTATCAGAACAGAAGTTATTACTACATTGTTTTGGAATATATTAGGATTTTGTAAAATGCCTGTCTTAGCACAAAAGTCACAGTAACTGATTCAAAATAATTTTTTGTTTGAAGTCTTCTGTGAGGTAATATTTGAGACAAATAACACCAAGCGAAATGTGATCCATAAATTCTCAATGACTGGTTTGTGTGAATATGGAATGAAGTGATAAAAATATGCTAAATACGCTAAAGGGAAATTATCCAAAATACAAGTTAAGCGATCATTATATTGATTCTACATGTTCTTACCAATTTGGCATAACTATACTTTCAAGAGATTCTCTTTAATGCCAAAAAGATATACCAGATTTAGAATATAATTGGTAACACAGTCATATAAAAAGCAGGGAAGCAGAGCCTGTTACAGGGATTTTTCTGAGCACACACTACTCTGATTAACTCAGAGTACCTCCTGTGCATGCCATTTGTGGATATAGTTGGCAGCATCTGTAAGTTTATTGGGAGGAACGTCAATGATGTGATATCAGTTTCATTCTCAGTCTATAGCCTCAGGCTCTCTTAACATGGAGAGGAACGGCTGCTATGTTTTCAACCAAATAAGACCTTTATAAGATGTTTGCCAAAGAAAGCATCTCTTCTCCTTTTGGCAGGCCTTGGAAGACAATGTGTCCCTGGATGAGATTATGAAGCTCACATCCATTGACAAGTGGTTTTTGTATAAGATGCGTGACATTTTAAGCATGGAAAAGACACTAAAAGGGCTCAACAGGTAAGGCACTTGTGCTCTGATTCACTCCAGGTATCTTCTGTGCAGTTTTGTCTTCCTCTTACCCTTACACATTTGGCCAAAATTCTGCTTCAATGAAGTAAATAGTGCCAATGCTGCAAAGCAATAGCCATAACCAGAGGAAATGGCAGTTTTTAGACGTTTACCTTTTTAAAGGCATCTATTAATAATTTTAATTGTCTTCTACACCTGCCCTACCCTTGACATGAAACATAGTGATGTTTTTATTAGGTCTTCTGAATTTACAAAAATTGGTGTACATTTATGGATTGATGTGCTATTTAATTACCAGACATTACCTAGATTTAAATTTTATTAATCAATAATGAAATGAATACTATTTCTGTTTTCTATTACATTTTCCAAGTTCTGAAGTCTATTCTTCTCTTTTAATATCAACCTACGTATTGCTGTGTATTGATGAGCAAACATATTCCTCTTGCATTCTACTGATATTTTTAACATTGGGACATCCAGTTCAGCATACAAATAAGCCACATTCAAATTTTTGTTAATAGACCCTTTACCTCTCACTAATTTGCATTTTTATCTCCTTTATGGCCAATTATTTTAAAAATTTTATTTCATGTTCAGAACATTCCTATAATGTCAGTATTTTAAAATCTACTTTTTTTCTATTTTCTGAGAAGATCGTTTTTTGAGGCAGCTCAGGCATATGAAGTCACAGATAGGTTTTAAACTTGGATCTGTGATAACAGGAACATGTATTACCAGTTTAAGAAAGACAGTGTATTTCTCTTTAGCTTCTCCTCTTTAAGAGGGCTTTGAAATACACTACTACTGGAAAGAAATCTCACCTACAAGCCTAGGCACATGTTTAGAGAGGGAAAAATTTTGTTTGCAGAAATTATTCTCAAATGATTTTAGTAAATGTAGAAAAATTAATTGCTTAAAATGTTGAAAACAGTGGAAGCTCTCAATGACTGGATTTCTCGACTGTTTAGAAACTGCAACATATAATTGGGTTACTGGGTTTACTTAATCAAAATGTACACAAACTGGGCACTTGCTTTTCTTTTTGAACAGAAGGAGGTTCTTTTTCATCTGTTCAACAATCACCCACAACAAATGCTTGGTTTTGAAAATGGGGGACTCCAATCTGCCAAAAATGAAACTAGCTGTAGTTGCTTGTAAGTCATCCTTTGTAGTGATCATATAAAATGAACAGTAGATAGAAGCTAAGAATTGAGCCTATACATTCATCTTAGAATTTTGCTGACTTGAGGTTTCCTTTCTTGGTTTATGATGCCAGCAGAACTTCTATGTTGAATTATAGTCTGTTCCACTGTTTTCAGTTTCAGACAACTGATTTCAAATGCCTGTGAAACCATTCCAATTAAACCACATGAGGGTGCTAGAAACTTACAGTATGCCAACCGTAGCAGTGGAAGAGTCCTGGGGTGAAAAACAGCAGATGTTATTGTGATTTAAATTTCCACTTGATATACATTCTGATTTTTGGACAAATTCAATGTTTTAATTGAATAGTTTTTGTTACAAACAGAAGGCAGGTTGAAATTCCAACTAAGCAGAAATAAGTGTATATTGATAGTGAAAAACTGTTTGGAGGATTATTAGAACGACTCACAGTCGTAGATCACTTACAACATCGTTCTGACTTCAACATTTTATTGCATTTTTTGCTGTTAATTTGACATTTTAAAATAAAGTCTCCATTTTCTGGCATAAGTATAATTGTAAATGGAGATTTTTCTATTGTTCATAATCATCTACAATAAAAATTTTTTATATACAACTTAATAATTTAAAAGATTCTAAAACATAATACTTAACAATTGTCTCTTGCTTCAAGACCTCAACAGAGGATTTATGGTGTTAGTAAGCCTAAACTCTGAACTTATTATTATCTGATGGACACTTTACATCCTTTTTTTTTTTTGAGTATCTTAGATGCACACATAGCAATTCAATAATGACTGTTATTTAGAGGTGTTGGATAAATAGAATAAGAACAGATGGCTACTGAAGCTCCCTGTCCCAGTCATTCTGTGGCATATTGGGATCTGAAGTTGAAAGAATATTGCAACTGATGGTGGGTGAGTGCAGGACTTACATTTTTTTGTTTGTTTGTTTGTTTTTGCCCTATTTTGATTATCTTCATGATTAGCCTGGATTATGACATCTTCTGCTTTTTTTCAGCCTCTAAATATCCAGAGAGGCTTGGTCATCAAGGCAGATACTGCTCCAACAGTAATAGCTATCTAATAACAGTTGGCATTATATGGCTGAGTTGAGGAAGGTTAAGGTCAGCTGGTTCTTTTTTATCTGTGATTTGTTTCAAAATTTCAACTGCTCCCATGTTCGAAAGGCTGACTTTAGATGTAGACCCAGGAAGTAGCTATTTATTTGGTCTGATTTGGGCCAACCCCCAAATTCTCTGGCCTTAGCATGTCTCTGGTACCAATGTGCCCAAGTCCCTTTGCAATTTTCTTATAAGTCCCTGGGAAAATGGGCAGTGGGGATCTTAATTAGGAGAAAGGAGAAACTTAAAGAGAGGATAAAGTGTCGAATGCTAGATGTGGGTTAAGTTTCACCTCGTTCCTTCCTGTGCGCTGGAAGGAGCACAGGCTGTGGAGCCAGTCAGATATGTGGGTGCACAGTATTACCAACTGCAGCATCATGGGCACATCACCTCCCTCACTTCTCCAACCTCACGTGCTTCCTGCTAATGTCTCCTTTATAGTTTTGTTGTGGAGCTTAAATGATATAAATGCAAAGGACCCTTGGCACATGATGAGTGTCCAATAAAGTTTTCTCTTATTCCCCCTGAAAATGAAAATGCTACTTGTTATACTGATATATGCATTTTAAGACTCATTTTCAGAGTCACGATTTGCATTTGCATATATATTTTGCAATGTGTCATTTCTTAATTTTCTTTATGACGCATTGTCACTTATTTTAATACCAGACCTATTTTTTTTAAATAAGGAAGCAATGATAGCTAGTGATACAAATGCCATTCTTATCAAAAGATCAATAGCACTCCGTTATAATAATGAACAAAAATTCCCACTTTACAGTTGTTAATCATGCTAAAATTCTTCTAAAATGCAATAAATACATTCACTAGCAGAAAATGAGAATAGCACTTAGATTGATGGCAGTCTATTACTTGTATCTATATATAGTCACCTGAAATGAAGTCCAGAATTTGACTTCCAAATAGAATATACCCACATATTAGGTATATATGTGAATGTCCAGACTGGAGTAGAGAGAAAAAAACAATGATTGTAACAAGGTTAGCATTATGGAAATAACGGATGAGTTTTACCTGTCTATGAGAAAGTAGAAATTACTTTGGGTGGAGATGAACATGTTTCATGTTGAGGATGAAGTATGAAATCCCAGTCTTCTTCAGGGTGATGGGCCAAGTTAGACAGGTGTTAGAATAATCAACTCAGTATCCCTCAGCATCCCAGCTCTGAGTGCTTGCTTCCATCAGAACTCAGTTTGTTATCTTCAATACGTGATCATAGCAATGGCAACCCTCTGGAAACTTCCAGAGCAATAGCCATTCTTACCAACTTAGGTGTTAATCATTATTCAGACAGCTTCAGCAAAGAATTTCTCTTCTATACTTCAGTTCACTGACTTTCTCTTTTTCTTCTTAAACTGTTTATTGCTTCCCGAGGGCATGCTAGGAAAGTTGACTGTCCTAGGCAGTTCCCCAAATTTATAAGCTAGTGTAGTGGAATGAATCGATCTAGAGTGATAACATATTTCACTTTGGATTTCTTTAGGTTTTGAAAAGTTTCTCTTTACTCAATGTGATGTGAGTTGTATCATGGAGGATTCCAATGCCTATTATGCATATGCATTGGGATTCATATGTTTGATCTATTAACCTCACATTACCAGATCACTTTGCAAGTAGTTTAGGAAAATTGAGCTTGTCAGAATTTTCAGTGTAATTGCAACATTTTCAAAAGCTCTCTTCATTGGCCTTCACTACCAAGCTATCCAGACTTTAGTGTATCTCTTTTCCCCATACTCACTCATCTTACCAACATTGACTCTTTTACACAAAATCCTCCTCCCATATAGCATTTTCACTAGAAGAAAAATGCATTTATTTTGATCTATTAAAAATTACAGAAGTCTTACCTGTAATCCTTTCCTCCATTAGTCCATAGACAGATTCAATTCTAGTCACGCAAATAAAACTGGATTGGAGGACAGAAGCACAGGTAGTATATGTCAAACAGATAAATATGTCAAATGTCTTTATCACCTAGGTTCTCTTGATATAGCTGGTTCTCTAAAGTAAAAAAAGAATGGATTTAGAGCTCTATGTGTTAATACAGAAACTTGAATTTTGATTCCGTCAAACGCCTTCCAGGTGTAAGATAATGATCAACGAATTTATTGACTACATATCAGGCACTGTTCTAATTGCATTATTTCATTTAATCCTTACCACAACCTAAGAAAGTCAGTAATTATCCCAATTTTATAGGTAGTAAACTGAGGTTCTGAGATATTTAGCAACGTCCTTGATATCACATGCTAATAAATGACAGAATTGAGATCAAACCTGAGCAGGACTCCAGAGCCTAGGATGTTTTATATTTAAATCCTATACACATGCGCACACACACACACACACACACACACACACACACACACACACATATATATGTTTAGGGATGTGGAAAGGTGGAAAGGTGAATTATATAACATCTGGAGGAAATCAGACTACATGTAGTAGACACTTCCAGCATAGTGACAGTATTTAATAAAGCGATGATAGTCCCATCATCATAGAACTAGCACATTTGATAAAGGTTTCAACAATATTAATAATAAATAGATAAGCACAGGTACAAAAATATCACAGTTGAACCCCTTTCACTATAAGTAAGGAAGTTAGTCAACTGTAGTAAATCTTCTTTGTGGGCAAGAACTATTTAAAGACACTACACCCCAAACCTTTT